TTTTTTAGGGAGTAACGCAATATTGTAATGCATTACTTTTAAAAGTAACTTTCCCCAACACTGGTGGTGAGTAATTACACTCTAAAAAATGCTGGTTCAAAACAGCCCAATTGCTGGGTTTGTCCCTATTTTACCCAGCACTGGGTTATATTTAACCCAGCATTTTTTAGAGTGTAGGCAAGTTTACTGCAAAATAAATCTTTTTTACCATAAAAATAAAAAATAAAAATAAATTTTTGATATATTCAACTCTTATTGATATAATTGAAAGTGATTTATTTACCAGCATAATTCTGCTGTTTTTGTTTGTTAATATTCAGGCCAACCTGCGGAAGAAGTGTGATGGTCGTAAAAGGAGAGGGACGAGAGGTATTAACTCTACACTAGAGGGCGCTGGCACCCCACGGTGGGTGGGCATTTGCTTTAATCCCATTCCCAAAACCACCCGGCATCACCTCTCCCGCAGCCTAGCGTTCAAAGGTGAGCATAGGTGTGTTTTGGGATACAGCTGCCTAACTGACCCATGTTAAATGAAAGAATATCTCAGTTCTGTAATTGGAGTTTCAGAGCACTACCAACTTAAAGGCATAGTTCACCCAAAAATGATGGACTGTCATCATTTACGCCGTTCCAAACCTGTATGACTTTCTTTCTTCTGTGGAACACAAAAGAAGATATTTTGAAGAGTTGTTACCAAACCGTTCCGGTTCCCATTGACTTCCATTGTATTTTTTTTGTCCATACTGTATAATGGAAATCAATGGGACCGGAAAACATTCTTCAAAATATCTTCTTTTGTGTTCAGCAGAAGAAAGAAATTCATACAGGTTTGGAACGACAAGAGGGTGAGTATAATATTTCATAATATAACATATAATATTTCTGTGTGTGTATGTTTTCCTTCTTTTTCTTTCTGTCTCTCCCACTCATCTCTCCACAGATAGTGGGTGTGGATCATTGGATCGAAAACAAAAAGCCTAACCACACCACACCACACCCAAACCCAAAGCAGAGTAGTAGTGTCAGTCCAGTCTTAAGCCTTAGTTTAGGATCAGTAAAGTGCTGGAGAGGCAACTGGAACAGATCTAATACTTACGCCACGCTAAGATGAAAAAGGTTTTTAATTGTAAATGGAAAGTCTGTTCCATAAGTTGTGTTTAATGATTCAGTGCACTTTGTCTTGAAATTCTATTCCTATTTTGAATGTAGACTAACAAATAATTAAAATGTATAGCCTACTTGTTTGTTTTCCCCTGCCTGAACAGTTAATTTATTCATGTGCATTATGATAATAAACAACAGGTGCCAGACCAGATCCTAACTGAACTGAACTTCCAAAGTGAGTACATTAAATTTTGTGTGAGTTCGGCTGATATGTGCTTCATGAATAGAACCGCAGTTGACAACAACATAAACTGTTGTTCATATTTGTATGTTTTTAAAAGAAATCAATACTTATGTACAACCAGATAGTATTTAGTATTTAGGTATAATTATGTTTTTACCTGTGAAGACAGTGCTGCTGGCCTTTAGGTGTTTTTTAGACTTCTGAAAATAGGGCTTTGCCAACACATAGTTTATAAATGTATAAAAATGAAATTATTTATTAAAATAGAAAGCGGTTCTTTTAAATCAGTAACTATAATTTAAAATACTATGCATTTTAAATGCTAATTTTGTAAACAAAAAGATATATTTTTTAAATGCCTTATGCACCATTAAAGACTGAGCTTAAATCTAGATTAAAGCAAGGTTTATCTAATAATTCTGTTACACCAAATTTTAAAATAAGGAAACTTACATTTAAACCATCATTTTGATCCTGGTTTTAATTTTCTTTTGAAATAGATTCATTTATATCCAGTTTCTCCATTACTTTAAACTTTGATTTAAATATCAGTATGGAATTAACTTTGAACTTGCAGGTGAGGAGGTTTACACAATAATAAAAAATAAAAAAAATCTACGATTAAAATTAACCATCGATGAGGATTCAATGACAGGTTAGAACCCCTGATTTGCTGTGTTTAAAATTAAGTGGTGCAACATAGCTTGAATAAAATAAAAAATAAATAAAACAACTAAAACTAGATCAAAAAAATCTTTTATGATCTCTAAACTTTACTTCATTTAATCCTTAATGGTGCAACCCACCCTTTGTGTTTTCAAACTTTTGAATAGTATTATAGAAAAAAAAAATCTGTATTGATGAAACATCTGCTACAGCATAATAAAGGGTTATGCATTATTTCAATAGTCCACTTTAGACATTCTGCTAACTACAGGTATAACTAACTTTGCAACATGTCACTAACTCATAACATAACACTAACTCTCATTAGAGTTTTAGTAGACCGTTAGGTTAGGGTTAGTAGAATAAGTTAGCGTACTTGCCAAATTGGACCATCAAAATAAAGTGTTATCTTATATTAAGCAGACAGTCTACTAGTACTCCAATGACTGCTAGTTGGCATGTAATTGCAAAGTTACTTATAGTTAGTAGAATGTCTAAAGTGGACCATCAAAATAATGTTAGCAAATAAAATGTTGTAATGCATTTGTTGCTTGCAAAAAATGTAACTAATCAGAATACACAACTACTTTTCACTGGCCAACAATAGAAAAAGAAGATTTTGGGTCCAGATGATGTAGTTACTACATCTACCACACTGTAAAAAAAATTCCGTAAAATTTACGGTAAAAAACCGGATTATTCACTGTAAATTCTACGTCTTTTTCACTTCCAAAAACGGTATATTACCGTAAAAGTACATGTAATGTCCAATACAGTTTTTCACCGTATATAGTAGGGGAATTTACCGTTAACCATTTAACAGGTTTTTACTGTAGCATTTTACTGTAGCAGTTTTTTACCGTTAAATTCACAGTCATTTTTTACAGCAGAGGTTAGCAGGGCCATGGTAACAAGCCAAACCTTGAGCCTTTGGTGCAAACACACACACACACAGCTGCGGTGTCCCTGGGTCGGTTCTCACACCCAACGTCTGTCTCTGTTCCAGGTAACCTCCCATCTCACCGCACACTCATGTCCACACACCCATCGCACTTGTTTTTCCATTAGCACAGAGACTTTGAGCGAGTTTATGTAGGAGAGAATGGTCAAAAACACTGAGAGAGAGAGAGAGAGTTCTGTGCACTGGGATTTCCACAGTTGACGTCCAGGAGAGGATACGGTTTGTTCCTCACCGCTCACAGATGCTGGGACACTATAAACATAATGTTTGTGACACACACCAGGTGTGACCCAAAAACTATGCGCTGAATACAACTCTGGGTGACATGCCACATCCACCCAAATGAATAGGTTTGGGTGGAATATGCATGGTTAGTGAGGTTCCTCCCAAGTGTGCAGGTGCTTCCTTTAATCGTGCATCTGAATCATATAAATAATTATGCCTGTGTTTGGAATGGAATATTAGTTTGATACTTAACAGAATTGTGTACAGTATAATATACACTGTCTATTATAGCATTTAAACAATAAATTCAGAAAAAAAAGATAACTTAATCAGTAGTAAGATCACATTTAATTTTAATATTTAAGAATTATGGCAGAAACAATTTATTATAATTTGTGATTGCAAAGGTTGTGTACCTTTGTACAAAAATAACAGAATTAACTGTGAAATTTCACAGCGAATCTATTGAAAGCCAGCCAAAATCATTCAAACACACTCCAGTGTCTAAACTCGTAACACTAAACTGTCACATGATTTTACTACATTCATCACATGACCTCATCACGTCATAAATTTAATTCAGTTAGTGGCATTTTAATTACATTTTGTACAAATATCTTGACATTTTGACAGCACAATCAGATAATGAGTCAAGGAAAATAATGCAAAAATCATCATCACACTGGAAATGGTAGGTCAAGTTGAACGCATTGCATTGTGGAATATATAACATTGAGTGCAGTGTGTTCTGGTGTACTGCACAGTGTGGTAGTACAATATGCTATTCCAAATATAGTCTGTCTCCTAATTTAGTCAGGTGGTAAAGCATGACTGAAACAAACACAACTCGCAAAGACAAATTGAGCCGGTGCTGAATAGAACTGCAGTAAAGCGTTACGCACACAACGGGCCCAGACACGTCATTGACTGCCAGTGTTTGTTCTGAACAGACACTCACAGCCATGGGACTCACCACAAAATGCTGACCTTCAAACACACACTTAAAACAGAAATGTGATAAAATGACAATACCAGACAGATTTGTGTGGTTGCTTGGAAGAGGACCTGACAACTATGGTTATGTATAAAGCGTACTGCCATACTACTCTTACTAATTCTGCAGTACACTTTTTTTTTCTGTATACACACATCATTCAGGTGACTATAAAAGTCTAAATCTGACAAAATGTGCAGCAGAGCACAGTGTGCTGCTATTTCCAGTGTGACAAATACACCAATGTCATGAACAATTGGGTTCTTCTGTTGAATCGAGTCCACCGAGGACCCCTGCAGGGAAGCTATTTATATACATAATACATATATAAACTTATAAATGATCAGTTGCATAGAGTGTACTGTAGACTAAACCCAAAGTGCGTTTTCAGCAGCAAAAGGAGTTTTGCGCTGGCGCAAGCTGTTTGTAAAGTGTTTGCGTCAAAACAGAAGTTTATTTTGCTAGCGGTATATTAAGCTAGTATACTATACAGGCATCTTGCAAAACCTAAACTAACTAAAAAAACTTGAACAAGAAATTATTCATGCCACAATTTATAGCTTTGGTTATAAACTATATTTTGTAATATATGACATAAAAACATTAGTAGTTGTAATAGATTATAAAGGGATTATATGGGATTTCTAATCAGGCACTGAATATAGTGCCAATAATAAGTTCTTTCAGCCAGTGCAATTGTTTTGGGGTCCTAAGCAAAGTCAATTTTAATGGGCAGACCAAATTTTTTAAGGACGCCAAAAGCGATAACTTTTTTTTTTTTTTTTTACATTCATTTGATCTGACTCCCAAAATTAAAGACACAAAACTAAAAATGACCACTTTTACAGCTCCTTGGTTTGAAATAATTATCATTGCATACTGCATACTGTTTCACTTTAGTAGGCAATATTCAGTGTATACTGCATTTCAGCAGCACACTAGTGTTCCATTACAAATTTAAGTGAGGTGAAGCTCCTTTATTAAGCATTTTAAAATGTGTGTGTGTGTGTGTGTGTGTGTGTGTGTGTGTGTGTGTGATTATATCTGTTGACCTAATTGCAGCAGGTAACCTCTGACTTTGCAGAGGATAAAGGCGTCTTTTGATGGCCGGTGACTCAGGGAAAGTCTGAGAGCCTCCGCAGGCAGACAGATTTCATTCAGTTAAATTAGCGTAAGCACCAAGCCGTTTGAGCAAATAGATGACCTGATGGGTCAAGCAGGAACGTGAGTCATTGAAGTGAAATAAATAACCACTTGTGGGATTGCGGATTGTAAAAGTGCCATAGCGGTGATGTAAATCAGTTTCTTGCATTACTTGTTCTTCCCAAGTTCATCGCTGCTTGTTCCTGTAGGGGTAATTGGGGACATCGTACTGGTCCCACTAAGGTCCTCTATGAGACAGACTACTCATTGGGCCTGGAAGAGGAAGGAGCCCACCCATAAAAATGTTGTCCTGGGCCCTGTGAATTGGGATAGTTTGATAAAGATAAAGCCATAAGGTCAATGTTCACAAGCAGGCTTTCAGCGTATCCTGTGTGAGGATGTGTGCTCAGCAGTGTTTGTTTGCATAGTCCTGGAAATCTCTGTGATAACATTTTTCCTCATGAAATCAACAAGCTGTGCTCTGTAAGAGAAACCGGCAGAGTGGTTTTCCCCGCTCCGCTCCTCCACAAACAGCCAAGCCTGTGTGAGAGCGCATTACCTCACAAACCCCAACACTTTACCCGCTTTGAAAACACTGTTTACTCTATTTTCTGTGTGCTCAGCACTGCATAAGAAGTCACCTCAGATTCACCAGTAGAATGACTAACTGAGT